TTCAAGTACTCGATTAACGCATCTTTCAATAGTTGAATACTTGACATTTCACCTATTCAACTCTTCAAATATTCGCTAATCGAATAGTTGAACTTCAAGTATTCAACTATTCATATATTCCATTATTCATCTGAGGGCTAGTTGAAGTATTGAAGTATTCGATAGTTAAATAATTGAACATCCAGTATTCAACTAATCAAGACTTGAATATTCACTGAAGGGTGTACGCGCTTTTGTCTGCCTAACACTTATTTTATATTAGCGCCGTGGTCTCCGGAAACGCAGCGCCGCCGATGAGCCACGATTCGTGTACCTTTCTGTTTACACAGTAACCAAAGCAGGACATGTTCATGGCAGCTACTGAATACTTGAATGCTTGAGTGATTCAGCTTCTGCCATTCAATAATTGAATACTTGAATGCCGGAATTTCAAGTATTGAACAATTGAAGAGTTAAATACTTGAATTTCAGGTATTGAATAGTTGAACAGTTGAATAGTTGAAACAATATTTCAATAATTGAATAGAAGTGCCAAATTTGACACTACAGGGCAGTTAGAGCGACTGTTTCCATTACGCCTATGATGGCCTTAAAGCAAGGGGGAAACAGCAGACTTTTGTTCTTCAAGTACTTTACGCTACTTTAAAGTACTTCGAGGTAATTTAAAGTGCTTTAAGCGAATTTTGGGCTACTTCACACAAACTTTCAAGTACTTTAAGCTACTTTAAACTACTTTAGGCTACTTTCAGCTACTTTGAACTACTTCAAGTACTTTCAATACTTTGATGTACTTACACATTTAAAATTTCTCAATATAACTGTAAGCACATAATTTGGATAATAGTTAATGGTTATTTTGTTTTTGGCAATCAATAACATAATATAAATCATTCAATATATATGAGAAAAAACAGTCCAAATTATAGCATTATATAGGTATTTCCATAGTTTATTTTAAAGAAGATAAAAACGCGTAAAATAGAAGATCAAGTGTAAATTAAAATGCGCTAAAACAGAGAAGAGATGAATATTTATATACGGCTTCTTTTTGTCGAACGATATTGTTGTGATTGTGATATTAAACGACGTTTACTGCCGTTATGTGCAGCTTGATTTGGGAATGCTGAAGAATCAACTTGAGCTGTTATTTGTGTGTTAGTTGGTGAAACAACAGCAACTCCTATTAATGGTGTCTGTGACCGACATGAAGGTGTTAATGTAATAGGTGTTGATGGTTGTTGCTGCTGTTGACTTGATTTTAATTCTCTTGCAACTTTTTTGACGTTTTTCATATGATCATAACCATTTGATTGCAAGTGTTTATAATAATTAGATACTTGAATTTTATTATCATTTTTACCTAACGATATTAATTTATTACATTTGCATTTAATACTTGCTTTTACATCTATATTTTCATCAAAATCAATCTTCAAAATAAAATCAACGTTTTCTTCTAAATTAAAATGTTCTAAATCAAAATTTTCTTTCTTATCTGAACACCATTTCTGAATGAGTTTAAGAACATGTGCTTTATGTTCAGCCAAAGACAATTTATTAGATACTGATAGTGCTTATGTTGTTGCTGGTGCTGCTGGTACTAATGAATATATAGATGATGAATTCGTATTAAATAATTGTTGTTGATATTTTCTTCCTTTTGATTTTGTTAATTGTTCATTAGCTTATTTTTTTAATGCATCTTTTAATGAGCGAAATCCTAAAATTACTCCAGGTTTGAGCATAAATTTTTTATTTTTTAATTTAAATGAAAGTTCCTCTTTTAGTTTTTCTAACTCTTCATCATCAATATCATAATTAAAGATATCAAGTGGATCTTCAGTTTGAATTAAGGATGTTGTTGATTTGATCGATATTTTATTTAGTAGATTAGCTTCTGGTTCACCAAGAACAGTCTTAATAAGTAGAAAAAAATCATAACCGGACAAAGATAATACATCTGCCGGCAGATAATCGAAGCTAAAAGAAGTTGACATAAAAAATATCTTCTAAAATTAAATTTCAATAAAAGTACAGAAAGATTTAGTAATTAATATTTGGATTCGGAAAATGCTTTTTGAAAAAAATAGTTCAATGAAAATAAGTAATGACACCTAAGTTAAGTGATAGATCAGTGGTTAGCTAATACAATAAACCAATCAAGGATAATTAGACCATTTATATTTTTACATTTATATTTATATTATTCGTCTCACAGTGAATTTTTTATGCTTTCCACAAAGCAGTGACACCTGTAAGAAAATAAAATAAGAAGGAATCATATGATTCTCAATGAACTTTGTCTGACCATATCACACTGTAATAAATGCCAAGTGTCTTACAAGACAATGTATGCGTCTAACGCTTAGTTTAGGCACAAGTTTGACATGAGATGCGTCTTGTTTTTAGACACTTGAAACGAATAGACACT